AAATTATTTTTTTAAAGTGCTTACCAAGCAAAAAATAAATGAATAAAATACTTAGTGGAAAATAAATAAAATGAACATCAGGAGCAGGCCTGTAAGAGAAAAAAAGATTTTTTAAAATATATGTAAAGCTGGGTGAGGTGGCTCATGCCTGTAATCCCAGCACTTTGAGAGGCCAAGGCAGGCAAATTGCTTTAGGCCAGGAACTCGAGACCAGCCTGGCCAACATGGCAAAACCCCCTCTCTATAAAAAACACAAAAATTGGCCATGCATGGTGGCAGGCACCTGTAATCCCAACTACTCGGGAGGCTGAGGCAGGAGAATTGCTTGAACCTGGGAGCAGAGGTTGCAGTGAGCTGAGATCACACCATTGCACTCCAGCCTGGGTGACAGAGTGAGACTGTCTCAAAAATAAATAAATAAATAAATGTAAAAACAGATACTTTGTATCTAAATAAGCCAACTTAGCAAAATAATAAAAAGAGAACTAGGATGGTTTCTAAAGGTTTTACGTGCATATATTAAACTGGCAAAAATTATTATTCTATTATCGTGAATACAGACTTCAAAATCCTGAATATTAAAATATTTTTAGGTTGTTTTGTATGTGCTTGTTTTTTTCTAGACCACATGGAGCTCCTATTTTACCTTATAAATCCCAAGGCATGTAATGGTTTCCAGGTACTATTCAATAAACAGTACAACAAGATATACTTTGTCACAACCTCAGGACCAAAATAAAACAAAAAGGATACATATTCACAAAATCCATGAACATGTTTACAGGTTTAAGCAAAACAGATTATTTCCTTATGTAACATATTTCACATTTGTGATATTCGGAAGCTATGTTGTTTATGTCACTAAAATGAGCCTTTAGTTAGACAAATTAAATAACGAGAAAAAATGTATCATAGAATCTTAGGTTTTACAGGTGAAGCAGAAATCTAATTGTGTTATATAAAATTTCCCTTTCTGAATAATTAATTCATTACAGTTCAACATTATACAAGCTCTTTTAACAATCTTATTAGTAGTATATTTTATCTTCCCTCAACGGACCAAGAATGACACGCCATTTTCATTTCAATCACAGGAAATATCTAGTAAGTAAAAAACCCTCTTATTGTTAAATTAGTGCCACTCGATATATATATATATATATATATATATTTTTTGGAGACGGAGTTTCACTCATGTTACCCAGGCTGGAGTGCAATGGCATGATCTCGGCTCACCGCAACCTCTGCCTCCTGGGTTCAGGCAATTCTCCTGCCTCAGCCTCCTGAGTAGCTGGGATTACAGGCACGCACCACCATGCCCAGCTAATTTTTTGTATTTTTTAGTAGAGACGGGGTTTCACCACGTTGACCAGGATGGTCTCGATCTCTTGACCTCGTGATCCACCCGCCTCGGCCTCCCAAAGTGCTGGGATTACAGGCTTGAGCCACCGCGCCCGGCCTGCAATATATTTTTTAAAACTTAATACGGACAGTAGTTATAATCTGCAAATTGAAATCTACTACCCACAAACTACATACTACTGTAAAAGGAAGATAAAACCTCAGGACCCCAAACTCACTATGTCAAAGGAAAAAGTAAAGCTTAGGAACTGTGTCACATAAAAACTGCCTTCCCTTTGTTCCTAAACAAATAGCTGCAAAATAGAAGGCCACCTATCTACCCACGTAGTGTCTCGTGCAAATTGCTCACAAGGAAATTCCTTGTAGGCCCCCAAATCTGTACACTAACCCAGAATTCTGTTGAATCTCACTCTGACAAGATATCAACAAAGACCCAAGATGACTAGAAATCCTCTCCCTTTGAAGACAAATGTATATTTGACTTCTTCCTCTATCTCTGTTCACTTTATCCTATGTAAAGTGCAGATTTACTGAGCTTGAGATTAATGCATAAGTGACTGTTCCTCTACCCCAACCTTTCACATGACATGTGGATTCAGTGAGTTCTAATCAAAGTCTCACAAAAATGTGACCACTCATGACCTACCCTCCCTTTTTCTTCTTTCCTCTTTCCCCTCCTGGTATTCTTTCCCCTTTAAATACTGAAGTCCTCAAAACCTCTTTTGGAAAAAGCACAAGCCACAGATCCTGCTGTAACCTTCGTCTCTTTTTCCTTGGCACATCCTCAACCTCAGCAAAACAGAACTCTAAATTGATTGAAACTCGCCTCAGTCATTTTCTTCGGTTTACACTACCAACAGAGAAATGAACCCTTAAGGTTCATTACACGTGTGCCATCTGATATGAATTATACAGACAAACCACAAACTCCTAAGATTATGAAAAAACAAAAAGATGTTACCAGCAGAGCACTGCTGTGTGTGGTAGAAATTATTCATTCAATCTAATCCATTTGTTTTTCTTTTCAGTACAAAATGATCCAAACGTCAGAACAAATTGTTTAAACAAATTTAATCTAAAAAAACTGCACAAGGTGTAGATGTGTTGTTTAAATGATTTTCAGACATGGGATGCATCTAAACTATTCCATGTATCTAAAATGCATTTTGTGTATCCAAGAGCAGAATTTTCACCAAAAAAAAATTGGGGAGCAGTTATTTACTTGACCAAAGAATGAGAATAAGGTCATTTAGTCAATAGTCTTGATTCGTTTGAGTAAACAACAATAGCCAATTCTATCATCTTGTCACTGAAAATTAAACATTTTTAGCATCACAAGATGCAAACAATAAGCAATTATATTCAGTATATGGCTCCATTGTGTAAGTATCCTCTGATTCAAGTACTGGGCATCACTAACAAGCAAGTACGTACTCTTTGGAGTAACTGAAATGGAAAATCACAAATTATGAAGCTTCTCAAACATAACAGTAAAGTACATTAGTAATTAGTTAAGTACAAGTGATATTTCTGAAAAATTATCATCAATGCTTATCTTATGATTTCTTAAAATCACACACCTGAACATTGTCAAGAATCTCCTGGACACGAGTCAGTAAAGCTTTCTTCCTGTTAACCTGCTTTCTTGCTTCTACATCAAGTGCTTTCTGCTTTTCTTGTTGCATTTCCTTTCTTTTCTCAATGTTAAGCTGCAAAACATCATAAAAATGTAATTATTTCCCATAATAAAAATATCATAAAATCGGCAAGTTCTGAATCAGAAAGATTAAAAACATGTGCAACAGGCAAAACTAATCTATAGTGAAAGAAATCAGAACAGTGGTTGGGCTTCTGAGTGGGATGGGGCATTAGAGATCTTTCCATGGTAAAGAAAATATCCTGTGTGAGTGTGAGTTATACAGGTGTATGCCATGTATCAAAACTCAGGGAACTTTAACACTTAGATCTGCGCATTTTGCTATATGTAAATTATTTTGAACTGAAAAAAAAAGTTAAAAAGCAAAAAAGTTTGTTCACTGACCAAATGTTCTAAAATGACAGAAATAAAATTAAAGCCCTTTCGGCCACTGCTGAGTTTATCATTACTTCACTTGAATATTGACTTGAATATTTCTTCACGTTCAGTATCTTACTTCACTAGGTCAAATAAATTCTACAAGTTTTAATTTTCTAACCAGTACACATTTTACCTCTTTGCTGCCTCAAAAAAAAAAAAAAAGTCCAAAGGTTTAATGATAAAACAAACAGATAATGTATTTGTGATATTGTGCTGGCCTAGAGCCAGAACCGGAGCAAAACTATTTTATAAAATGCAAAACTGTTTTTAGATAAGTTGAAATGGCTGCCCCATTCTCCTCACAATAACTACTGTC